CTTAAATTCCCAAATTATTAGGGGAATTTTCCATGATATATTAAAACGAGGGGTTTTTGTGATCCTTTCCCCAAGCTAAACTTTAACCCCCTCAAGTTTATTAATTAGGGGCCCCCTACGGGCAAGAACCAAGTAAAGGGAGGCCCATTTCCCCTATTTGGGCTCTGGCACAAACTTTTTTAAAAAAAACAATCCGGGATAAAAATCAAAAATTTCCCCAAACCTCAAATTTCCTGTAAAAATTGCTCCATCAATCTGTCCCAAGTTTAAAAACTCCCCTTAGCACAAAAATTTTTCCCTTGTAGATGCCTTACGAATTTCCCCCATAGAAGTTTAAATGCACTCCCTATCAAAGATTGGTAACCCCCTTTTTAAAAACACCCAAAATTAGTTTTTTCTTTGGCCCCCCGAAAGCTTTAACCAAACAGTTCCGGCTGACGCTTTTAATTTTTATATCTTGTCTAACACAACAATTTAAATTGGGCCTGAACCCTACATCGCTTTTCCTTTCCAAACCCCCCTTCCGTTGACCCCCCTGTCAGTGGGATAATTTTTAAGCCTTTGTTGACATTCGAGGTCCCTTACTTTCAGTTGGGGAGGTCCAGCCCGAAAACATTAAAATTTTATCTTAAGGCTCCTCACTTCTTTAAGCTTAGGGTCCCTTAAACTTTTTTTTTACACTCCTTTTATTAAAATGGGGAAAAACCCTTTAAAGGAGCTATTTCCCCTTTCTGCCCCGGGTGTTTTCCCCCCTTTTTTTTGCTGACCCCGTTTTTTTTATTTTTAAAAATTCCCTGCCCCGGGAAGCCTTTTAATACCATTTCCGGTTTTCCCAACCCAAAAAACACAACCCTTTTTCCCCCTTCCCCGCCCTAATTTCCCCCCCTTGTTTAAAAAACCGGGCCCCCAAAACCTTCTTTAATTATTTTAAAACCCCCCCAGGGAAATTTTTCCCCCCCCCTTCTCAATTGGTTTTTCCAAAAATTTCCAGGCCCTGAAGGATTCCCCCTTTTTTTGCAAATATTCCCGTTTCCAAAAAAAATTGCCCAGTTTTTAAAAATTTTCCCTTTTCCTTCTCTTTCTAGGCAAAAATTCCCCAACAAATTATTTCCCCTTTTCCCTTTAGGCAAAAGAATTGATTGGGGCCCCTTCCCCTTTTCCAAGGTCTTCTCCTTAAAAACATTCCAATTTTTTAAAAACATTTCCACCCCACCCCCGAAACAGATAATGGGCTTGGGCCCATTACCTGGGCTTTAATTATCCAGCCTGGGTTAAAATAAAGGCCCCCCAAAACCAAACTCCAGGGAAACACACTCTATTCTCATCTTTTTTATTTCCTATTTCAAAAAGCACGGGGGCCCCAAAATTTTCTTACCTGAAGTCCCCAAACCCCAAAATGGGGCTTTCCTTTTGTTTTAAGGGGGAGAAATAACCCCCTTAAACCCTTTACTGGCCCTGAAGACAAATTTATCCGAAGAAAAGAGAAAACGATTTCCCCCCTTCAGATCTTCACTCTTAACTTTCCTTATTTTTGATTCCCCCTCCCATTTTCTGGGGAACCCCCCCTCCCCCACTTTAGAGGGGCTGGACTGCACCTCAATTTTGGTACCCCTTTCTATCCCCCCCACCACAGCCTCCTTTACCGCCCGGGGGGCAGACTGCACCCACTGCTAGAAAACCTCATTCCCCACAACTCCGCCCCCTCACACCTCCCCAGACCCAAATTTAGGTGGACCTTTACCCCGTAACCCCCTCCTGGAGAAGCAAGACCTCCTCCTTCAAAATCTCCAACCCCAATTTTTTAAAACAATCAGAAGCAAGCCCCTGCTTTTTAACCGTCCCCCGCAACCGCCCCCAAACAACCTTCAGGGTCTTGACCTCACGGGGCCCGTTTTTTTCTTTCCAGGAAAAGGATTACAGCTGCTACAAAATTTTTGGTTTTTTGTAGCATAGCAAGATTAGGTGGCTGTGGGGGCTAGGGGAAAAAAGAATGAACCAAAATTGCGCCATAAAAATAAATGTAATAAAGGGAAAACAGTCACTTAAATCACTGACAAATACAACCAAAAAAAGTCTCCGGGCAATCCCAAAAAACAAACATTAATCATCGTACTTTTGGTATCCCCGAAAGGGAAACCTTTTTAAAAGGTTGCATAATTTTTTTCATTTTTCCTCTAAAATTTTTTATTTCTTTTCACTCAAAAAATTTAGAACGCCCCCTTTCCGAACGGCTTCGGGGGGAATTTTCCCCGGGGCCCTTTTATGATAATAAGACCAGATTCTTGGAAGAATTGCCCCTGTACTGGGGGTTTAATAAAACCCAAAATTATTGATTCTTTTTTCCCAGAAACATGGAAAAGGCTTTTAGTAACTTCCAAAAACCCCCCAGTAGTGTAAACTTCAAACTTTAAAAAAAAGGTTCCCTCTTTTATTCAGCAACAAAAGAATTGAAGTGCAAAAAATAAAGACGGGAGATTTGGTTTTTTTAAAAAAACACGAGAAACAAACCCCTAGGGCAAAATTTATTAACAACGTTTCGGTCCTGGGACCTTGGGTCACTTCTTTGCACACAGATTTAAAAGCCCGTATATATAGGCGGAGAGTGGGGTGTGAGTGACATGTAGTGACCTGAAAAAATGACATATTTGAGATGAGGATAGGTAGACAAATGAAGTCACATATTCCTGCATGGTTAGGTAGGTGGTGATTTGCCTGGTTGAGTATTGTGTATGCTAATGTTTTTGAAAAATTGTAGCTTTCAGTACTATGTTCTATGGTGTCGATGATTGCGATTAGCGAGGTTTCCAGACATCGTCGGCGTCTTAGATCTTGTTCGGCGAGGACGAGTTGTGCCTCTTTCCAATTCATTAAATGTCCCGTGGAGTCCCTGTGGAGGACACAGGTGGGCACCTTAAATCAGCTCTGTTGCTGAGTTTCGATGCTCGTTCAGGCGGACTGAAATATTTCTGCCTGTTTTTCCAATTATGCAACAAATGGGAATCTTTATTGAAGAAACGTTTCGCCACACAGTGGCTTCATCAGTCCAATACAAAGTAGAAATGGGTAAGGAGAGGAGAAGTTTGAGGTAATCAGTCCCTCAACCTGGAATCGATGTGCTCAGTCCATCACTCTTGTAGGAAATGCAGCAGAGGGCCAGAGAGGTGGCTTATATACTGCAGTCAGATGAGGTGAAGCAGGAGGAGGCGGGATCACAGTGGGACCTGCCACTAGTGTAAGTAGGCCGTCGTCCAAAGGTTGGGCAAGCATTGAAGTCTTTGTACCAAGATCCTTACCCATTTCTACTTTGTATTGGACTAATGAAGCCACTGTGTGGCGAAACGTTTCTTCAATAAAGATTCCCATCTGTTGCATAAGTGTCTCAGTTCTTCAACTTGTCGGTTTTCTAAACCATTCATTACATATTTCTTGGGACAGCATCCATCGAAACGCCAGCACCAGAGTCGAGCAAGTGTACAGGTGTACCTAACAAAATGGCACCTAACAAAGTATACCTAACAAAGCGGTATCGGCGAGTATCTGTCGATACCGCTTTACGGTATCGGTATACCAGAGCAGCGAACGGACATCCCAGTGCATCGTTTCAGCTTAAATAGTTGAAGTGTTGTGCAGTTTCAGAGGATTTGGTGTTGTCGAGTCAGGACCAGTCAGCGCCTCCCCCCCTCTCCGCTGGGGGGGAGGGGGAGGGCGTGTGTAGTAAACAGTGACCCTCTCATAACGCCTCACACCTGCGCGTCTCCCCCGCCTCACCCACCCAACTCCCAGCGCCACCCCATCTGTAGAGGGTACTTCTCCCCTAACCCACGATGTCAGCGATGGCACTGCAGGGAGTGCTGGGCTCACAGGAACTTCCACTGCAGGGACAGCATCGTGGAGTTCGACCGCGAGGCAGCTGTCAGGCAGCTGAGTACACACTGCCACAGGCAGTGTGTACTCAGTTCCTCAAGCTTCAACATCCGTGCACACGAGGGCCTGGGATCTTCAATCAACTTGGCGTCCACCAGGACGCTGACATGTCCCTAGGGGAGCTCTGCATCGGGCTGCTAACGGAGTCACTGGCTTCTTGGACCTCTTGGGGAGGGTCGATGGTGCTCGTGCAAGCAGCAGATCCCAGGGCAACTTGCTGCTGTTTGCAATGGCTGTCTACCGAGGAGAGACAGGCACCTAGCAACATCTGTTGTTGGGGCATTGGATGAATTCCCTACTATGTTTGTTAACTGCTCATTACTCTGTAATTTGTCTATGATTGTAATCATGTGATAACGTGTTTATCATTCATTACCTTTGAAACCTGTCATGATTTTGACCAGCTCTACCTGGAGCTCGTTACCTTTGTAAATTATCATGATTAATGTGTTTATGATTCATTACCTTTGCAATTATTCATGAGTGTGACCAGCTCTACCTGGAGCTCATTACCTTTGTAACTTGGTCATGATTATGACCAGATCTAGTTCATTACCATTGTAACTTGCTCAGCTATCAAAACTTTGGAGTCCAGTCCCTGGACCAATTATGTACCTCTGTAATCTTTTGACTACCGCCCACAGGATGGGTATGAGGTGCATAATAAACATATTAAACTAACTAACTACCTCAACATTATGAGGGTTACTCATACACTCACACACTTTCCTACAAAGTGGACAGGGACAAAATTTTTAGAGATAGGACACAACAACAAGGGATCACAAGTGGAAGTTGAAAACTCAGAGGAGTCACAGGGATGTTAGGAAATATTTCTTCAGTCATAGAGTTGTCTTCATACCAAACATTTTTATCATTATGTTATTTATCGTGAGGAAGCACTAAGCTCATACAGGTCAAAAGGTTTTGAGAATTTTAGGAAAGTTGGCAGTCAGGTTTGATCCAATGAATGGAAGAATAGCTGCATTTCCGTGGATAAAGAGCGTTTACTGGATCAAGTCAATCCCCCCCCCTTTATTCATTGATAGGAATCATCATATAACACTTTTTTACAGAGGATCTGCAGCTAATGACTGGGCTTGAAGGTCTGCGAGTTCTTAAGACTACACAGTCTGCCTTCGTGAACTTCGTCAATGATGAATTCCGTTCACTGCCAGACGCAACTGACCGCATCTTCTCCACCATTGTCTCCGCCGCCTGGCAGTACAACACTGTCAAGAACGTCGACTTTGGCAAGATATGGTAAGATATACAGAGAGAGAGAGAGAGAGAGAGAGAGAGAGAGAGAGAGAGAGAGAGAGAGAGAGAGAGAGAGAGAGAGAGAGAGAGAGAGAGAGAGAGAGAGAGAGTGAGTTTTAATATCTTTATTATGCATGATACAGGCACAAGACACGAGTTGCAGCCCAGCCACCGTGGAGAGAAGACGTCGTCGTTCCCGCTCTTCAGCTGAGCAACTCTGAACACTGTTGCTCGAGAATTTACTTGGGTTATCCTGAGTAGTTCTTCACCAGAGCTGAGAGGAGACTTGCTTGCAGTCACTTCGAGCCCCATCCCATCAAGAGGGTAAGGCGGTGACTTGCTTGCTTGTTCACCCCTCTCATCCCCATCCCCCCATCCTTCCCCATCCTCCCCCCACCCATACATCAACACTGGCCCACACACTTAACACACTACATACATGCTATCCTTCTGACTGTCCTATCTTCTTATTTTTCGGCAACTTCGCTTTGGCGAGTTAACACAAGGCATTTTGACCATCTGGTAGCCCGTGTGGTTTTTTAAAATCCAGCCGATCTTTGCCTTGGGCCCTTTCCCCTCACTACTCGAGGGTAGGCTATCTTAGGAGCTGACCTTCATAAGTCAGCTGAAATAGGATGTTAGGCTAACTTAAGGAAAATTTTGTAGCATTTGTCTGGCCAACTTTCGATCGTGATTGTCCATAAAAATTCCCTAAATGTGCCCCTCTGTAAGGGAAAAAACATCTGCTTTTTTGCTATTTGTCCTGAAAGGAAAAAAGGAAATGCAAAAAAATTCTTGACCCAAAGAAAACTTCCATTCTAAAAAAGACCACCCCCCAGGCACCCAACCATGCCCCAATTTCCCTTCCCCAGCTCTCCCTGGATCAAATGGGATCCTCAGGTCTCTACCAATGGTTCCAATTTTTGGGAAATTTTGCCCTCTTGGAGGCCCCAACAAACCCCCCTTTTAAAACAGAACAACAAAAAGGTTTCGTGCATCTCTATGTCTGGGGTATCCACAGACGGGGATTAACGGGCACAACAAATGTACTTGTGGCCAAAGCATGCAGGTGGTGACATGCAACTTGCTCTGGGTTTTTAAAATGTCTTTTAATGGATAAGGGGGATCACCCCCTCATATCCTGAAAATGTAAAGGCTTTATGCCCCAGCCTTTCTAACAAGAAGTATGTCCCCATACTTACATCTAAAAAAAACCCCTAAGTCACCCTTTGGGGCCCCGGGATGCCCTCCTCGCAAACCCAGGTTGTCAACTCTCAACCCAAAAGAAAAACACCTGAAATAAAAATGCCCCAGAAAGGGGTTGCTACTCCCCCGCTATTGTGCTGAACCTGTTAAACGGAACTTTCCCAAGGAAAACTCACCTTCCCGATCTTTTTCCCCTTGGGGGCCTACACAGGCCCCATTAACCTCACGAGCCTTCTTCCTAAAACTGAGGAATAGCATACCTCATTTTTATGATGATGATTCTAACGACTTAACGTTTTCTAAGAGTCTGTTATTTACTGCCCTGTGAAGATGAGGCTTTTTTAAATAACAGCATCCACGCAAAAGTTCCCTTTCCCCTTGACGAGTCCAGCGGGGATAGTGTGAAACAACACATAACATTACTTGCAGGCGTTCAGAACGATTTTACGGGGAAAAGAATAAGCAATAATGGGGTTAAATTTTTCCAAAACTTAATGTTAACATTTTTAATAACCTTTCCCTTCTTGAGGTTAAACTACATAACTACAATCCCGTGTTATATTTTGAACGGACAGCTGCAAGATTTGTCAACATTTAAATTAGTGGTACGTACTGTGGAGAAATCGAGAGGCCCCTTTTAGTGGTGTAGCCTTTTGGGTTTTTAAATTTGGATATACATTTTAAAAATATTCATGTGGATGAAGAAAACATTTTGAAATGAACTAAAACGTCTCTGGACAACTAGTGTGGGAATGGATATTTTACCCCGAGAAGCCATATGTAGGTCAACCCTTACATAGGATAAAAGCAGAAATATTCCAACAATTTGCTGGAGTTTTTAAATGCCATCACCCTGCCCTCTTCAATGTGGAGTGGTATTCCACTGGGGGACTTAAAAAGGGAAAAAAATCTTTTAAAATTTAGAAGCAGGAAATTGTATTTCAAGGCCCATCTTCAAATCGTACATTGGACCTCATCCAGGAACACCAGATTTGTATGACAAACAGGGACTGTGACATCTTTTTACTGTCGTATATCTTGGTGGAAATGTAGGATTGACCATATCCTGTTTATAACAACTACAAACTTCTCCCTTTAGAATACCTGTAACTCCTAAACCCAATCTTAACACCCCAGGATTTGACCCCTTTAGGGCAAACTGGGGTGAAGATGAAATTGGTCTTTGGAAAACTACCTTCCCGTGCAAATTTATGATGCAATCGGTCCTGCACAATCGAATAATTTAAACTCCAATGAACTTGCCCCAAATTGCTTCCCAAAGATATACCAACAATATAAACCCACTAGAGAATTTTTGAGAACTTTAAGAAAATTTTCAAGCAGAATGTCGAAGGGATTTCAAACGCGACACCCCCAGCAGCTACACTGCACCCCATTTTAAAGGCCCCGAAATTAAAATTTAAAATATTTGTCAACCCAAAAAGAGACATATGGAAATTTTAGTTTTTCAAGCTAATCAATAATAAACGTGAACCAGCAAAATTTTGGATAAAATCCGACAATTTTAGGGGAAAGCACAAGGCTCTAACTACCTAGTTCATACCCCACTATGAGGTTTGAAGATGTTTTAAATTAAAATTGACGTCCCAGGACCCGGCTAATTGATGGGTGATGATGGGAGAAAAATTTTCCCCTTTACAATAACAGTCGTCAATTTAAAAAATAATCATTATCAGTTTTGTATTGAATGGGAGATGAGAACTTGGTGATTAAAAACCCTACCTACCATCGTACTTCAACTCTTGAAGAACCCCCCGCTTACTAGACCATTACTTATAGAGATAAATCAGGTTTTTTGGGAAAAATAGAAATAGAGCCCCTGGCCTCTCGGGAAAAACAATGAAACAAATAAATTTCCTACCTAGAAATTGAAACATCCTTGGTAAAAATCTTTAATGCCATCTTGGCCCCCAGGGGCATTTTCCCGTTGTTTTTAAAACTGCTAGAATGACTTTCTTGCTAAGCCCCAAAAAAGGGCATCCACCAACTGGGGAAATATGAATTTCTTTATTGAAGTCACTGGAAAAAAATTCTTGAGAAAGTCATCTCCCCAAAAGATTTAATTACTATTGGGGTTTAATCCTTGTTTACTGAAAAAAAAATTTGGCTTTAGAAAATAGAGGTCAATCACGCATAAATGTTATTTTTTCATGTGCAAGTCTAAAACGGGGCAATCTTTCCTTAATTGCACCAGGTGTTCATAAAGCTTTTTTAGCTTTTGGCTGTGGCCTTTTAACAAAATATTGACCTACCAGACCATAACTGGACTTTTTTCAGAGTAATTTTAAATTTTTAACTCAAAGAAAAAATCTTCCCCCCTTTATGGCAAGTCGACAGAAACCCTTTTTACCCACGGCTGGTGTCCCACGGTTCTTGTCTCAGTCCATTCTGTTTAACATTTATGTGAAAGACCCTTCCCCAACCCGAGTTTAATGACACAATTTTGACACAGTTTGCAGAGATGTTTTCATGTCGTTCATCAACTCCGTAACAGGAAATACAAGTTGGAGAGTTAGAAAAAAAAAGAATATTGAACTTCGTCGAAATCTAATTTGGGAGAAGAAAAGGAGAATTAGACTAAACCCGACAAGGTCCTTTTTAGCACGATAGGTGTTTTGCATCAACCATCGAAGATAAAGGGGGGGATCTCCCTCAGAGTACACCTGTAGCCATTTTAAACCCTAACAAGTCTTGGGTTGAAATAGCAGGCTGCTCACTCAAATCTATGTAAAAAAAAAGATCAACACAGCCAAAGCCGGTCTTAGCAGATCTTTCGATTCAATCAAGCCCCCCCCATGTCAAAAAACATCTGTAAAAAAATGTAATAAAACCATACTTGAATACCCCTTTTGGGCCAATTCATTAAAAAACAAAGACCAAAATGCTACGGTTAAAAGGGTCCAGAATAAAGGGGTCTTGCTTTTTTACCGATACCAGGAGGAGAGGGGCAGAGTTTAAAAAAGGCAGATTTACATATCAACAAGAATCCTGCCCTAAAAGTACGCCTTGACACCCTAAAAAAGAAAAAAACTTTTAAAAAAATGAAAAAAAATATACTGCCGATAGGAACTCCTATACAAGTGATAAATACCACCCATTTCCCCAATATCCGCCTCCAGGACTCAAAAATGACTCTCCCACAGGGGTTTGTGTTTTATTCATAAAGATGATTACCCCCACCATGATTTTGAGCATTTACCTGAGAAGAAGATTGGTATACCAAACCCCTTTTTTGTATACTGGGGGAAAAACATCGCCCCAATTGGGAGACTTTTTTAAATAACTTTCTAAAGTCAAATTATGCTATGGGCTTTGTTGGACACCCCCATTTAAAAAGCTATTTTCACGGGTCTAAACTGGCCAGAAAATATTGCCTTTCTTGTTGTATAATTCCCTTGTGCAATCGAAAAAAAAAAAAAAAAAAAAAAAAAAAAAAAAAAAAAAAAAAAAAAAAAAAAAAAAAAAAAATGCAACTTGTATAACTACAACCAATTCAGAGTCATGTACTTATATACCTATTTTATTTATGTGACTCTGATGGGTCAGTATTATACCCCTTAAAGAATATCTTATCAATTCAAATACACTTTTTAAATTACACCAAAGTGGTTGGGCCACTTACCTTTTATATCCTACCTCTCCCCCCTTCCAACCCTTTTCCAATATTTCCATCCTTACCCATCCTTCTTCCTTCCCCATCTTACCAAACAGCTCTGGTCATTAGAACTCGAACTTATTATGCATCCCATTCCCATCGTAGGGCGGTCGTCGAAAGGTTACAGAGGTGCATAATGAATACAGGAACTGAGCCTCAAACTATTTACATGTTTATGATCTGGTTACAGTCGCCTAGCGAGAACAAGCGATTTGAAGAGAATCATCACTGGCTTGGCATCCTTAGTTTTGAAGGTTTTTATTTATCACCCCATCATTTTCCTAGCAGATGAGATGGAAAGATATATATATATATATATATATATATATATATATATATATATATATATATATATATATATATATATATATATATATATATATAATAAGTTAAAATTAATATATATATATATATTATATAAACAGTGTTATACTTAGTGACTAAAGAAAAAAATTGCACGGTGCAATTTCGGTGGATTCTGTGACTAAAACATGCAGTGGTTTAATAGATTTTTTCACAATATTGGGGAAGATTTTTTTTCATTGTTTGAAGGAGATTTGTTAACTAGAGGAACTAACTGTCTTCCATGAAGATACAAATGATGCCTTGAGCCCAGACTTTGTCCTTCCTCAGGATAACGATACTGAAGGTGATCAACGACAAGTTTGCTGGTCCCCCTGACATGGGCATCTTCTCTCCCTCTGTCCAGAACACAGTCTACCTCATACAAAAGACCGCCCTCGAGCAGATACCAGAGGTAAGTATACATTATGTTAGGTTATACAATGTCATACATAATTAAATTTAATCCATATATTATGAATTAAACTCTGTTAAAATGAATTACTGTCGTAATGACACGTGCAGCTCGCTAGGCCAAAACTCTAACCAATTAACTATTCTTATAAATAAATTATACTTAATTTCAAAGTGATATATAAAGTATATAATTTAACTTCAGCATCACCAGAGCTGTGGTAAGATAGGGAGGAAGAAGGATGGGGAAGGATGGAAATATTGAAATTTTCAGTACTTCCTCTCAGTTATTACCCAGGAAAATACTAGCGAAATTCCAGAAATAATAGATTATGTAGAACAGAACGATAATAAACTATGCACGTTTTCGGTAACTAGTGATATGGTTCTCAGACAAATAGAGAAATTAAAAGCTAACAAATCCCCAGGCCCTGATGAACTGTTTGCAAGGGTGTTAAAGGAATGTAAAGAGGACCTTAGCGTACCTTTGGCTAATCTTTTTAACATATCACTACAAACTGGCATAGTGCCTGATAAATGGAAAATGGCAAATGTAGTACCTATTTGGAAATAGTAAATGTAAGTAGAGTATAATTGAAAAATTAAGAGTATGACGAGAATAGATATGCAGAGACAAGGAGGCTTAGAAAGGTAGGGGGTGTAACCATGATTACAGTGAAACATAAAGTGAACAGTATTAGATAGGCTAAAAGGCTTTGTGGCATTATGATTTGAAAAGGCGTATGACAGGGTGGATAGGGGCAATGTGGCAGATGTTGCAGTATATGGTTAGGAGGAGTTACTGAAAGCAGGAAGAGTTTTTACGATGATAGTGAGGCTCAAGTAGAGAAGTAGACAAGAGGGAAATTTTTTTTTCCGCATAAAAGTAGCCTTAGACAAGGAGTGGAATGTTCCTCGTGTGGTGTTTAAAATATTTATAGATGGGGATTGTAAGAGAAGTAATGCGAGGGTCTTGGCAAGAGGCGTGGAGTTTAAAGAATAAAGAATCACACACAAAGTGGGAGTTGTCACAGTGCTCTTTGCTGATGACACTGGCCCTTTTGGAATTTTGAAGAGAATTCAGAGATTGGTGATAGTTTTGGAGGGGGTGCAAAAGAAAAAATTAAAGGGGAAACAGGAAAGAGTAAGGTTAGAGGGAAAAAAAAAATTTGGTGATGAAAGATGAATATCAGTTGGAGGGAGAAGTAGGAGGAGGGGAACGTACGAATTTGGGGGGGGGGGGCGTGTCACGGATGGGTCATGAAAAATAGGTGAAAACAAGAATTAGGGAAAAAGAGTGGTGGGCACTTAGAGTCGTGGAGACAAAGAACTTTGTCCCGGAGGCAAAGAGGGGAAATTTTGAGATATATTTTTTACCAAAGCCTTTTATGGGGGTGAAGCGTGGTGATGAATGTTGCCGCGAGGGAAGGCTGGGGGCATGGGGAGTCATTCTGAGGGGGAAAGTGTGGGTGAATATAAGCAGAGAATTCGATTTTGGGAATTTTTGGGGGAGTGCGGGATTTCCCAAAAATGTTGTCCAGAGGGGTGGGAAAAGGGTTTTGAGGTTTTCACATGTAGAAGAAGGACGAAACAGAAGACTTCAAGAGTGTATAGCCTTTTAGTGGAAGGGGAAAGGGGGGTGGGGTCGGCCAGGAAGGGGTTGGAGGGGGGGGGTAAAGAGGTTTTGGTGCGGGCTTGGACTTCCAGCGGGAGGGTGACGTGTTTGAAGGATGAAGGAGACAAATGGTTTTTTAAACTTGACGTGCGTTGGGGTGTGGCAAATAACATTTATAAGGATTCAGGGAAACCGGCAGGCCGGGCTTGAGCCTGGAATGGGGAAATACGGCCTGCACTCTGAGGGGGGGGTTTTAAAGTTGCAGTTTAAAAACTGTATGTAAAAACCCCTTTTGGCAAGACAGTAAGGGGTAAAATGGGAAAAGTTTTTTTTTTTCGGGCCACCCTGCCTTGGGGGGAATCGCCGGGGTGATAATAAAAAAAAAAAAAAAAAAAAAAAAAAAAAAAAAAAAAAAAAAAAAAAAAAAAGGGGGGGGAAAGTTTCGCCACGCAAAGGCCTTATAAGTCACAAACAGATCTACCCAGATGAAACATACGTGACTATATATAGGATGGGAATGCTGGGTCAGGTGGAGAAAGCTGCATGTGACTATCTTCGGAGTAGAGTGAAGAAGTCTAAAAACATATCACCTGCCTTGTAAATACCTATTTACAAGGCAGGTGACACGTCCTTAGCTTCGAACTATAGACCAATAAGCCTTACCTCCGTAGTGGGAAAATTTATGGAATCAATAATTGCCGAAACAATTCGTAGCCATCTCGGAAGGCATAAATTGATTAATGAATCTCAGCACGGTTTTACAAAGGGGCGTTCCTGTCTTACGAATTTACTAACTTTCTTCACTAAGGTATTTGAGGGGGTAGATCATGGTATTGAATATGATATTGTGTATATGGACTTCAGTAAGGCTTTCGATAGAGTTCCACATCAGAGGCTATTGAGGAAACTTAAGGCACACAGAATAGAAGAAATTTTTTCCTGGGTTGAGGCATGGTTGATGAATAGGCAGCAGAGAGTTTGCATAAATGGGGAGAAATCAGAATGGAGACACATCACAAGCGGTGTGCCACAAGGGTCAATGTTGGGCCCCTTGTTGTTCACAATCTACATAAACGACATAGATGAGGGAATAAATAGTGACATAAGCAAATTTGCTGATGACACCAAAATAGACCGTCCAATTCATTCAAATGAGGACATTAGAGCACTCTAAGATGATTTGAATAGACTGATGCAGTGGTCGGAGAAGTGGCAGATGCAGTTAAATATAGACAAATGCAAAGTTCTAAATGTTGGACAGGAAAATAACCATGCCACATATAAACTAGATAATGTAGCTCTTAATATTACGGATTGCAGAAAGGATTTCGGAGTTCTGGTTAGCAGTAATCTAAAACCAAGACAACAGTGCATTAGTGTTCGCAATAACGCTAACAGAATCCTTGGCTTCATAGCAAGAAGTATAAATAATAGAAGTCCACAGGTTGTTCTTCAACTATATGTATATTTTTGGTTAAGCCTCATTTAGATTATGCTGCACAGTTTTGGTCACCGTATTACAGAATGGATATAAATGCACTGGAAAACGTACAAAGGAGGATGACAAAGTTGATCCCATGTATCAGAAATCTTCCCTATGAGGATAGACTGAGGGCCCTGAACCTTCACTCTCTAGAAAGGCGTAGAATTAGGGGGGATATGACTGAGGTGTATAAATGGAAAACAGGAATTAATAAAGAAGATGTAAATAGCGTGCTAAAAATATCTAACATAGACAGGACTCGCAGCAATGGCTTTAAATTGGAAAAATTCAGATTCAGGAAAGATACAGGAAAGCACTGGTTTGGTAATAGAGTTGTGGATGAGTGGAACAAACTCCCGAGTACCGTCATTGACGCTAAAGTAAGAACATTGTTTTAGTTGGAGACAATCAATTTAAGTTTATGGATAAGGCCTTTTGTCTTAGGGACAGGAAGAGAAGGCAGAGGGTATGTTTTCCTGGGGATGGGATGGGGATATTGTTAGCCGTCTGGACGACATAATAAAAGGTAATGGGAGCAATCCTATTATCTGCCTCAGTGCAGGAGGCAACAATGTTGGCAGACATGGGAGTGAGGACCTGATTAGCAGGTATAAGTCAACAATAGAAATAATTAGGAAGAAGGGTGGGAACCCTGTCATATGTGGTATTTTGCCAAGGAGAGGAGTTGGAAACGAATGGTTGTCCAGGGCAATTGGTGTCAATTGCTGGCTAGACAAATACTGTAATGAAAATGCGGTAACATTCATTGACAACTGGGACCTCTTCTATGGCAGAAATGACATGTATGCCAGGGATGGGGTTCACTTATCTAGGTCTGGGGTGGGGGCACTGGCAACTGCAGTGGAGGGAGCTGTTAGGGCTTTAAACTAGGAATAGTTAGTGGTATGGGTTTTGGCAGGAATACAGTGAAGTCCCAGTGTAGTAATATTATGAGTTCTAGGGGAGCAAGTAATAAGCAGAATGAGGTAGATATTGGAAAGCCAGTGGCACTAGGTGACAAGGACAGTAATAGGTTTAGTGGAAAAATGGAAATGAGCAGGAAGGGTAAAGAGAAAGGAGGGTCTTTAAAAATATATTATGCTAATAGCCGTAGTGTTAGGAATAAGATGGACGAGTTGAAATTAGTTGCTAGTGCAGGTAACATTGATGTATTTGCTATCACTGAGACATGGTTTAATTCCAAAGGTCGGGACATGCCTGCAAAATGTCACATTAAGGGTTTTAAATTGTTCCAAGTAGATAGAAGTATCGGGAAGGGGGGTGGAGTGGCACTGTATGTCCGTGATCGCTTGAACTGTTGCATAAAAACGGGCATTAAGTCGGAAGTAACATATACAGAGTCTGTCTAGATAGAATTTTCAGATGGGCACGAAAATTGATTCTAGGAGTGATATACCACCCCCAAACTTAGATAGGGACCAAGGGAGATTGCTATGGGAAGAAATTGTTAAGGCCACAAGGCACAATAATGTAGTAATTCTAGGGGACTTTAACTTTAGTCTGTTTGGAATTTCTTGACTGGGAATTTATAATCAAATGACTTCTTAGTAGTTCAGGACTGTTTTTTGAAGCCGTTTGTGACAGAACCTACAAGGGGAAATAACCTGCTTGACTTGGCTCTGGCAAACATGGAAACCCTTGTTAATAATTTAGAAATTACAGAGGAACTCGGCATAAGCGATCACAAATCAATTACCTTTAGCATAGAATGGAAGTATGACAGTAGGGATAATTCAGTAATGGTCCCAGATTTTTGCTTAGCAGATTACAATGGGCTTAGAGAACACTTATCATCTGATGACTGGTGTAACGAAGAGAGCTATCAATATGACAGCTTTCTGAACATGACTAACGCGACGGGCTGGAGTTTTGAGACTATGACCGCGGGTTCAATCCCGGCCGGGGTATGGCTTTCTGAACACTATACATGCTGCTCAAAGAACATTTGTTCCGTATAAAGAAATTAGATCGAATAAAAATGACCCAAAATGGATGAATAATAGGCTCAAATATCTTTTAGGCCAGAAGAAAGGAATTTATAGACGTATCAAAAGAGGTAAGGGTCATCTTATGAATCAGTATATTGACATTAAGAGGGGCGTTAAAAAGGGGACAAGAAAAGCTAAAAGGGAGTACGAAATTAAAG